TGCTGCTGCCGCTGCTGCCTCTTCAGCCTCTGCTGCCGCTGCTGCTGCCGCTGCTTCTGCTGCTGCGGCTTCGGCTCTTGCTGCTGCTAGTTCTGAAGCCTTCGCCTCTGCGAGCGCTGCGGCTTGCGCGTGAGCTGCTGCGGCGTCCTCCGCTGCTGCTGCGTCTGCGCCAGCGCGCTGTTTGGGGGGGCCCGGCAGCACCGTTTGCTGCTGCTGCTGCTGCTGCTGCTGCTGGGCAGAAAAGGACTTTTCAGTAGCAATTTCGACGACACGCCGCACAGCAGCGTCCAAGACAGAGGGAGGGAAGAGAGGCACCTCGGCGAGCTCTGCTGCCAACTCCAGAATGGGCCTTTGCCGGCTTTGCGCGTCTGGGCCATCGGGGGGGCCCCTCTCGCCGCCCTCGCTGTGGGGCCGCAGCCCGTAGGCGCTGCTGCTGCTGCTGCTGCTGCTGCTGCCGCTGCGGCCCTCGCGCCCCAGCCTGCGGACGGCGGTCTCTGCAGATGCGGCCTGGGGGAACTTGGCCGCCAGAAGCGCCGCAGGCAGCCACAAAAGGGCTCGCCGGAGCCGCGAGATCTTCATATCCAGAGCCTGAGGGCGGCAGCAGCTGAACCTGTGGAGGACCGGCCAGCACACGATCTGCAGCAGCAGCCCCGATCGCCGCCCGGGAAATCAACCTCTCCTGGCTGCTGCTTGATGCAATAATGACGAATTAAAACCAAATGAGCACGAAAATGAAGGAAAATGAGGCTTAAAGCGGGCTGCGAAGCGCGCAAACCGTCGATTTGCCGTTTCGGGAGAAGCCCAGGACACCGCAGGGCTGCAGGAGTCCACTGACGGGGAAGCGGCAGGCCTCGAGCTTCCTTTACAAGTTCATTAAAAAGGCCAAAGTATTTAAATTACACTTCTCCTCAAGACTCAGCTGAAGCGACGAAGGTACCTGGACGAAACCATCCGCGGCTGGCAGCTGGCCGCACCCACCCCAGTTCAATTGCTTCAAACCTGAACTGCTTCCGTTTTGAGGAAATCCGCAGCCGATGCCAATCATTTTTGCATTCATATGTTTAAACAGTTCTTTTCCTTCATTTTTAGCCCCAATTGGAAGTAATTTGTAGGCGCTTTCCCGGATGATCGCGCCGCTTCCCGTTTTGCAGCTGCTCAAACCGATGCAGGCCCAATCCGGTACGACCCCAGCTGTGGGGCCAGCAGTTATTCCTGCGTTTTAGCTTTTGAGTTAATGGCAATTAGGCGACTCTCCTCCATTTCAATATTTAGCTCCTCAGGTTTCTTCATTTAGGCTCGGCGAGGCGCGGCGAGCCCGCCTCTCCCGCCGCGAAGTCCGGGTCGCCGGGTGTACAGACTCGAGAAATGCGCGCCTCGTGCGTCATTGCTTGACTGGTCTCAACACTTTTTTCCAAATCCTCCGGCGGGACCAATGGAAGTGGACGGGGAGGAGGGCCCCTTCGAGGGGGCCCCCTCGTCAGGGGCTTTGCAAGTGCAGCCTCGATCCCAGGGAAAGCCCCCTGCCTTCTTCATTTCCAAAGCAGAAGAGTATCTGTCTTCTTTTCCACCCAACATGGAGTTGGCGGTGAAGTTTTTGGAGAAGGGGGTGTCTGTACACCCCAACCATGTGGGGCTTCTCGAGCGCCTCGCTGCCGAATACGCAGAGATAGGCAGGGCAGAGGAGGCGAAGAAGCTGCTGCAGAGGGCCATGGAGCTGCAGGTACAGCCTCCTGCTGCTGCAGTTGCTGCTGCTGCTGTTGCTGCTGCTGCTGCGGTTGCTGCTGCTGCTGTTGCTGCTGCTGCTGCAAGTGGGCCGAATTTTCGCGCTTTTGCAGCGGCCTGCGTGCGCCTCCGCCTCGCCTGCTGCTGAGCTTGCTGCTGCTGCTGCTGCTGCCTCTGCTGCAGCTCACTTCTGCTGCTTTTTGTTATTTCTTTTCTTTTTGCTGCGGCTCGCAGCCAGACTCGGGGCCCCTCAAGTTCCTCCAAATGGCCCAACTCGAAGAAGGCGCCGCCAGCCTGCCGCTGTACAGCAAGGCCATTGACATGCTGGAGTCTGCTGCGCGGGTGGGCCCCCGCAGCAGCAGCAGCAGCAGCAAGAGCAGCAGCAGCAGCGGCGCAGCGGCAGAGTTCTCGCAGAAGGAAGCGAGGGCCCACCTGGTGCGGGCCTACGCCGCTGTGGCTGAACTCTATCTCACAGATCTCTGTGACGAAGCAGAAGCAGAAGCAGCAGCAGCAAATGCCATTAACAAGGCTTTGCTGCTGGACCCCGACAGCCCCGACGCGCTGCTCTGCGAGGCCCAGTTCAAGAAGGTCAAAGGTCTGCTGCTGCTGCTGTTGCTGCTGCGGTCGTTGCTGCGTCAGCTGCTGTTGCTGCGGTTGCTGCTGCTCCTGCGGTTGTCGCTGCCGGTGTTGCTCTCGCACTGCAGCAGCTGCTGCAGCAGCCGCGGCCCGTTCCAGCTGCTGCAGCGAGCTGTGCCGCTGCTGCAGTTGCTGCTGCGCTGCAGAGGACCGCGAGGGCGCAATGGCTGCTGCTGGGCGCCTGCATGCGGTGCTGAAGCGGCTGCAGGAGAAGGCTGCTGCTGGGCTGCTGCTGTGGCAGCGCGAGCACGGCGCAGCAGCAGCAGCAGCAGCAGATGGACAAGAAGAGGAAAATGCTTCAATTGAAATCCGAGTCAACGCTGGGAGACTCTTCATAGATTTGGAGATGGTTGAGGAGGCCCTCGAAGTCCTCAGCAGCTGCCTAGAAGAAAATGAAGACGACGTATGCTGCTGCTGCTGCTGCTGCTCCAGTGATTGCTGCTGCTGCTGTTGCTGCTGCTGTTGTGGTTGATGCTTTTCATGCTGCTGCTGCTGCTGTGGTTGATGCTCTTGATGATGCTGCTACGGCTGGTGTGACTGGTGCTATTAATGCTGCTGCATTTACTGTCTTTGGTTTTGCTGCAGCAGCTGCTGCTGCTGCTGTTGGTGTTGCTGCTGCTAGGACTTGTGAAGCACTTGCTGCCTTTGCTGCTGCGCTGGGTGCCTTTGTCTGTCCGTTTGGCGCTGCAGCAGCAGTGTCTGCTGCTGCTCAAGGCTTAGGGCTGAGGGCTTAGGGTTTAGGGTTTAGGGTTTAGGGTTTGGCGGTTGCGGCTGCAGCCAGAGGTCTGGCTGGTGTATTGCTGCGGGCTCTTGAAGGCGAAAGAATTTGACTCTTGTCTCAGCGCGCTTGACGAGTTGAAAGACGTAAACCCTAAACCCTAATTGCTGCCAGCAAATCCTAAACCCTAAACCCTAGTCGCTGCTGCCAAACCCTAAACGCGGGCTGGCCCCCCGAACCCTAAACCCTAGTTGCTGCCTTCAAACCCTGGTATATCCTAAACCCTCACTTCTAAACCCTAGCTCCTGCTCTTTTCAACCACGGGTTGTGTCCCAGCAGCAACAGCAGCAGTTCATCAACACTGAATTTTGCTGCTGCTGCTGCTGCTTTTGCTGCTGTTGCTGCTGCTGCTGCTGCTGCTGCAGCGGCTCAAGCGATTTGGCTTCCCCAGCGACCATCCGATGGCAGAACATGAGGAGGAGCTGCGCAAACTTGCGGAGCAGGGCCTCACTGACCCGCAGCAGCAGCAGCAGCAGCAGCAGCAGCAGGATAGCAGCGACTGCAGCTTCTCCTCCGATGACGAGGGCGCCTCCTGAAGGTGCTGCCGAACTGGCAAATTTGAGTTTTCGTTGGAGTCCAAACTTTGGGGTTTAGGGTTTAGGGTTTGGGCTGGTGAATTGGGGTTTAGGGTTTACGCTCTTGAATTAGGGTTTAGGGCCTCGGCCTGTTATTAGGGTTTAGGAGCTGTTGAGTTAAGGTTTAGGGCTTAGGGCTGTCGAGTTAGGTTTGCTGAATTAGGGTTTAGGGTTTAGGGTTTGCAGAATTAGGGTTTAGGGTTCAGGCCGTTGAAGTACGGCCTACGGTTTGCGGCACAGAGATTAGGGTTTTAGCCTTGGGAAACCCTAAACTACGGGCAGAAGCCGGGGGGCTAGATTAGGGTTTAGGGTTTAGAGTTTGCACTGCGTTTAGCAAACCCTAAAACCCTAAACCCGGGATGCCGCGCAGTGTCTGCTGCAGCAGCAGTGTCTGCTGCAGCAGCTACCCTCGGGCAACTCGTTTGGTAGGTAGTTGTGTCCTAGGGTTTAGGGTTTACGGTTTAGGGTTTGGAAGGCGTTCGGAAGGTCTGGCGTTGCATTTTTGACTAGCAAAAACAAAAGCTTTGCGGCGAAGCGACGAGCGTTCAAGGTTCAGGGTTTAGGGTTTAAGCTAGGGTTTAGGGTTTGGCAGCGCCCGACGGCTCTCTGCCTTGCTTCTGCAGCTGTTGAGCCTCAAATGATCATTTTAATTCTATTTTTTATTATTAATAAATATTTTAAATTAATTTGTAATAAAAATGGAAAAGAAATCAAAACAGCAAACTAAAGCTGGGGCTGGGGGCCCCCTCTTGGGGCCCCAGCCCCTACGAGGCCGTTGTTGCTGCTGCTGCTGTAGCCGCTGCTCTTGTTCCTCCTTCGTTTATTTTTGGCATTTATTTGTTCCTTTTTAGAGGTTGCATGAATTGCTGGCCCTTTTAAGGGTTTAGGGCTCGCGGTTCGGGGTCTGGGCAGAGAGGCTTAGGGCTTAGGGTTTAGGGTTTAGGGTTTAGGGCCTGCCCAGGAGATGCTGAGCTTCGCGGAAGATGAGGATGTTGGAAACACTGCGGAGGACGAGCAGCAGCAGCAGCAGCGGCGGCGGCTGCTGCTGGCTCCCAGCAGCAGCAACAACAGCAG